GAGAGAGAGAGAGAGAGAGAGAGAGAGAGAGAGAGAGAGCGAGCGAGAGAGAGAGAGAGAGAGAGAGAGGGGACAGTTGTGTGTGTGAATTACCTGCGTCTGCGCGTCTCTCTACACACAATGAAGCTGTGAGTTTATTTACTTCAAAAACAAATTTTTAATTTTTAATTTTACCCCCTTGTTGCTGATGAATTAAATGTAGCGATCCATTATTTAAGCTATTTTATTAATAAAAGTCGCGAGGCAGCACTGACAACAAGTTTCTGTACTCTTTTTTTTCTTTTCTTTGTGTGCACAGCACGGTCTCCGATCTCACAAACCAAAACAATAGACATGATTTTCTCAGGCCACATGTAAAATTAGATGAATTATTAAAAAGATTATTAAAATGAATATGTATGGATGAGAGTTGATGACAATAACAATTAATTCCCCTCATTCGTAACAGTTTCCCCTGGGGGATAAATAAAGTTAATATTAATAATAATACTTAATTAACATTGTGATTTACTATCCCTGTTAAAGTATTATTAATTTTTAAAGTCAAAAACCAACAAAATCTTTTTTTCCACCATGTTTCCAAGTTCTCTACCTCAGGTCCAAAAGAAACGTAGAAAGAATGCACAAACTAAATAATTTTGAGATCTATTTCCATTTGTTATTTTCAAAAGGGAAATACTGACATGGATGTTTACGGAGCAGAGGTCACTTTTCTTTTTTTTTCCAATGGGAGAGATGAACTTTTGTTTGTCTTTATTATTATTATTTTGTGCTGTATTATTGGTTACTGTGTTATTTCTCTTTCTAAAGGCAGCAATAAATAACACTTTATTATCTAAAGAGTGTCCATGTGATTTTATTCATTAATAATTTTGTGAAATTAATAAATGCATAATAATCGTCATAATCGTGAAACCGTGATTATTCCTCAGACAATAATCGTACCAACAAAATCTATAATCGTTGCATCCCTACTCGCATGGCAGTAAATAATACGATGATATGATCATGCAGTCAATACAGATATTTCATAAAAACATTAAAAACATGCAGGGCTATAATATAACCCATTAAAAACACTGTCTACACCAAATACGAGTGGCGCGACGGGACAAAAGACAGTAGAACCTAGGCCTGGGCGATAAAACAGTATCGATATTTATCGACGGTACACCTTCGATATCAATAGAAAAAATTTTCGATATAGGAGATTGTGAATAAAGAATGAATATTAGTCGATTTTAAAATAAACATTTGCATTTGAATGTTAGGTGTGCATCAGGGTGCGTGAGATGCGGTGATGATGTAAGTGACGTTGTTGCATTTGAATGTTTTGTTAGTCTAGCCCACGAGATGCACCGCTGCTGTGTTATCCATTCAAAATATTAGAGAAATATAGAAGCTCAATGCGGAGAAGATCTTGATACAGGTTAAAACCGAAACCAAGCCATTCACACAGAACGCATATTCAGCGCATTTTTAGATGGACAAATATGACTGCTGCACTCACGTCTCACACAAGAGATGTATAGAAAGCCATGCAAAGTTAAAACAGTTTAAACTTTTAGAAAACACGTCACGAATTTGTGGAGGTTTATTCCTTTTCACTGCGTCTCATATGTTTTTAAATGCAATCTGTGTGAATGGCGCTTCGGCTCTTTAGGGTAAGCAATGCATAAATACATGATGCTGTTTTGTTCATAATTGTTTATGCAATTTACGAAATTATATATTTGATTTTTATGAGTTAATTTAGACGTTATGCACGTTTTTATAGTTACTTCCTTAAGTTGACAATTTAAATGTGCTGCATTATTTTGCTCATTGCGCCCTCCTGTGGCCTAAGGAGACAAGACAAAAGTTTCCTTAAAACCTATTTAATCTGCAAATAAAACATTAGAATTTAGATATTTTTTTAATTTAAATTTTGTGTTTGATTGTTAAAACAAAAAATATTTGTTGTTTGTCTCAATAAATTGTGTTAATTTAAAAATACAGTGGTTAAATAAAAAAAAAAATTCTATTGCTTTTTGTTTTAAAAAAGGTTATAAAAAATTTCAATAATTATCGATACCGAACGATATGAAACATATCATTTATACATTTTTTAGCTATATCGCCCAGCCCTAGTAGAACCCATTATAAGTTATATAACAACTCAAGAAAAAAAACAAAGGTAGGAAATAAAGATAAAGAGCAAAAATGGGCACTCATTGATTTAAGTCCTGTGCGCAGTCATGAAATCAGAGTCTCTCTTTAACAAAATCTGATCACAAGTGGTCACAGGAGATGCAAGTTAATACCAGGTGTAAATGGCAATTTTCTCAGCTAACTGCTTGCGATCGGATCACCAGGGACAGATGTTAATACCAGCTGTAAATAACGCCAGAGAGAGTAAAGAAACACAAATGACACACAAAAGACGAACCTTCTTCATCAATCCATTTCATGGTGAAGAGCTGGTCATTGTCCATGGAGCACATGTCCCGCACCTCACTGCACAGCCCCTCATAGGAGATGGAGGGATCGAAATGTGTGATCATGATGTCCCTAAAACAGAAAAAAGGTGACATTCATTAAGAGTTTATTTCAATAATATTCTATATTTATATTTAAGCATATCATATATGTAGGGAGATATTCTGTAACCTTGTGTTTGGTAACTCAATTTATTCAAAACACTATCCGCTGTTGTTAAAAGACAAACAAAGTACAGCAGGAAGTATTATTCGGTGAGTTTCTGGGAAGCTGTGTTGTATTACTAATAAATTCCCATAGTAAGAGGCACACTAGCAGCTTCTTTCCCTCTGTTGACTATTGTGTTCACACTGTTTTGGTTAATTATTGACAGCAGGGGAGTCCTTCCAGTCTACGAGCCAACGCGCTGACCCGCACATGCCTTCAGGTGGCCGTTGAAACTAGTAGGAGTGCACACACCACCTTATGACAGAAAAACACAAGGCTGGCTTTATCTGATCCAGGACCGTTAAGAAGAAGCTACTGTATGAATGTTAAAGGGCAGCTCTGTGCTTCCTGTGATGCATTTCTCTCTGCGTCAGTAAACTGTGCTTTAGGTAATATGTACAAAGGGATAAACTTCCTCTTATTGTTGCCTCTTGCAAACGATATAAAATTATTCTGGCACATAACTGACATTGTACCCACTCTCTTAGCATGAACAGATGCAGCCTGCGAGAGCTCAGCATCATTGCAAGGAGGTGGTGAAGTCACATTCCTCCATAGGGCATACATGGATTGGCTCACACTCCATTTTATAACAGCATAATGAACAAATAATCATTCCCACTGTCAAATAGGACTGTCAAGAACATCAAACAAAATTTTCTGAACATGGAGGTGTAAACAAGCTCATGGACACTAAAGTCAATGTGAAAAATACACAAGGAATTTAAAGCAAACAATGGGTGTAATTAAAGGAATAGTTCACGCAAAAATGAAAATTCCTTCATCGTTTACTCACCCTCATGTCATTACAAACCTGTATGACTTTCTTTTTTCTCTGGAAAATAAAAGAAGATATTCCAAGAAATTTCTCAGTCTTTTTTTTTTTAAACCATGAAATGGAAGTAAATTGAAGACAATGGTCACGAAAACATGAATACATTCTTCAAAATATCTTCTTTTGTGTACCGCAGAATAGGGCTGCATGATTAATCATATTTTACCATTAATGAAGAAAATCACCTGCGATATTGGCCCGCTTTCATCATCAAAACATTTTTTATTGAACATTTCTGTTATCTTGCATTGTAACAAGCCCCTACAAGCATTCATGGGGGGTTTACAGATGTCAAGAGTTTAAATCCCCCTACTGATCTGAAAACAGACAAACATTAATGTTGAACAGTCTCAATTACAATAATTTTGAGAAAAAAATTAAGCTTTTAACAGTCTTTACAATGTAGAGAGTGTGTTAATATTAGGGGTGTGTGATATATATCGTCTGCGATAATATCGTAATTGTTGTTTTAACGATGTGCAATTTGACATTATCAAGTATTTTGCACAAACCATTCAAAACATCCCTACAGAACGCACGCATACATTACGTCAAGTCTAGACTAGTGCGTGTGCGCATTTAGTGTGTTTTCTTTCACTGCATGATTCAGTCTATTAAAATGCATTTAGAATGATCACAAATTCAAGACATGATGGCAGAACATTTATATATTTATACCACTTCATACAGTTATTAAATTTCACACGAAGAGTGCCGTTTTTCTCCAAAAATTACCATGATTACAAATGTATTAAAAATTTCGGCTTTCGTTGATTTTCATTTACAACCTTTAGTCACGTCTTTACCTTCTTATATTAGAGATACGATGGATTTTATCGAACTCATGAATAATGTGAAATTACCTGATTATCCGGTCCTTCTAGTCACCATGGATGTTGAATCGCTTTACACCAATGTTCCATTTTAGGGAGGGTTAGAGGCAATTACATTTTTTCTCGATCAACGTCCTTGTCAGGTTTCAAGCACTATGTTTGGGTGACTTGGCAAAATTGGTGCTTTCACATAATTATTTTTTCTTTGGGTCAGATTACTATCTGCAGATCTCAGGAGTCAGAATGGGTTCCAAGATGGCCCCAAGTTTTGCATCTTTATTTTGCGGGTTGTTTGATTATCAGTTTGATTATCAGTTTGTGTTAAATCCTGTGGCGAATAATTTCTTGAGACACATTGTTCTATGGAAACGATACATTTATGATGTTTTTTTAGTATGGAGTGGTACTGAATCTGAGCTACTAGTGTTTCATAGTTTGGTTAATAATGAGTGTAGTGCGTTGAAATTTACTATGGAATTTCATCAAGAGAAAATAATTTTTTTGGATGTGCTTGATCTTCGTACTGCATCAGGCATTGAAACTACTTTGTATCGAAAACCAACTGACCGTAACACTATTTTACACGGACAATCCTATCATCCTGTGTCATTAAAGCGCTCGTTACCAATTTCACAATTTAGTCGTATTCGCCGTATTTGCAGCAGTGATGAAGATTTTCAACAGCAATCACAAATTTTATCACAGAGATTCAGAAAACGATGATATCGAGAAGAGTGGATTCAGTCTGCAGAAAGTCGTTTTAAAGATGTGTCACAACAAGAGAGTCTCGTTAAAAAACATACAAAAATTTGACCGTCGTGTTAACTGTTACATTCAATATTCGCCTGTGTCGAAGGACATTGATTATGTTTTATTGAAACATTGGCATATTGTAGAGTGTGATCCCAATCTCAAGAAATGTTTTGATAAACCACCTCGTTTAGTGCACAAGAAAACACCTAATCTTCGAAATCTTTTGGTTAGAGACGATTTGAAACCTGCTCCTCATTTTTTTTTAACAAAATACCATATGGGAATTACAGATGCAGTAACTGTTTATTTACTAGTTATTTACATATAATAAACGCTTGGTGGTTATTGATTTGTATTTATGTACCTAGGCAGGCATCAATTAATGTTATAAAACAATATATTGATAATTATATTTGTGTATTTTGCATAGCTTTATATGTTTTTGATTTATTAGATTTTTTTTTTTATTTCTGTTTCTATGTTTTTCTCCTTGGTTGATGTGTTATTGTTTTGGTATTATTATGATCATGATAATATGGTACGGTCATGTGACCTTTGATCACCTGGAGGGAGGCCTATAAAGATTGGGATATCAGTGTTGTTCATTTGTCTGATGAAGAGCCTGCGTGCTCGAAACGTCACATATGCTATGCGACAGTTTTTTTTTTAAATAAATTTTTTGATACTTTTGGAGCTTTGGTGTTGCCAACTTTACATCAAAAAATCTTCTATTTGTTTCTTAGTCGAACACCCAGTTGAGATTGATGTGCATGCTTTTGCCTGCTCTTCACATGATTACAAATGTGACATTGAATTCAATAAACAATAAGTTAATTAAGAGACTTACGTTTTAGACACCATATTGCTTGTTTTTGCTCTATTTCGCCAACATAAATCATTCCGAATACAGCCACAGCGCTGTTTTGTGTCTCTGAGCAACATGACGGTGTTTCATTCTTGAATGAATCAATCGTTTAAATTATTCGGTTCAATCGCAATGACTCACTTATTAACACTGATTTGCTGCCACCTGCTGGCGGTTTTAATTTCAAATTTTGGCTTTTTCTTTCTTTTCTATTTTTTTTAATGTTTTAAATCATTTCAAATATCAGTATTCAACGCTTTATGTTTATTATATCAAAACATTATTTATGCATTTGTAATTGCAGGTTAAATGCATTCATGTCTTGCATTAAACAAAATACATGTGTGTAAATACATCTAAATGCCACTTCAGATGCAGCTTCTGTGTTGATTTAATTTGCTTGGTAACAGCCCAAATGTCTTATTCTAATTCCCTGATTAAATGTAAGAATTTGACTCAAAAGATAACGGACACTTTTTTAAAAAATGTCTTTATAAAGGTAAAAATGCCCATAAAATGTAAAAATCAGTTTAAACTTATTGGAAAAGATTAATTTCTATCAGTATGAACTGACCACCACACAGAATATGAAGAATATTAAAAACATTATGAGACAGCTGTCTTCTGCAGTCCTTAAGGTACCAGCACAATAACACACTCAGCAAAATATCGTTTAATTATCGTTATCGATAAAATCTCAGAAAATATCGAGATATAATTTTTTGTCAATATCGCACACCCCTAGTTAATATATATGAAAAATAAAGTAAATCAGGAAACTATACAAGGTAAAACAAACCCTGTGAATGAGTGGACTAGGGTTGGGCGACGAAGTCTACAGTGAAACATCGTGATGGAAGATGAGGGGGCGGGGAGAGGGGTTGTAGTTAGGGGGTGTGCCCAAAGCGTGAATCCTTATAAGGGAAAACAAATAATGATTCCTAACACCGTGTCTACACGGGACGCAAGCGGTGCAACAAAATACTATAGAACCACTGACCTATAATAGAGATTCATTATATATAGATCAGTCTATAGAACTTATTATAATCAGCGATGCTGTCTACACTGGATGCGGCGCGGCACGACAAATCCCCGACAGTAAACTGCTGCCGTGTTCTATTTATGACGTGCTGACACAAATTTCAAGTGATTTTCAGCGGTTGCTTTGTCGTGTCCAGTGTAGGCAGACTTTAACTGTCGCGTCTGGTGTAGACACTGTGTAACGGTTGCCTGTTACATTACAGTACATAAAATTTCATTTACAACATAAACAGAGTAAGGAGAGATGAGTGAGGATGATGGCGAATGATTTGCAGATCCTCAGTACCACTGACAAACATATAATCTTGTAACATGTGTGGGAAGTACTGCCGTTCCATAGTATAAACAGAGTATGTGTGGTTGTCTTATTGCAACTCATCTCTGTTCTGGACTTGCACAAACTGCGTTGCAATGAAATCATTTTCCAAACTGTCATTTATGTGAAAATATGAAGTCTGTAAATGCCTGTTAACAGAGGCCAGAGACGCTGAAGACGGACGCACAGAGAAAAACACTATTGGAAGAAAATCCTCAA